ATCAAAACATCAAACAGGTTCTCCCCACTCAGTGACGCACCCAACTGAGAAACCTGATGAAAGTGCTCTAGTTATTGGCGATTCTATTGTACGGAACGTCAAAATAGAGACACCAGCCACCATAGTCCAATGTTTACCGGGAGCCAGAGCGCCTGACATCTTGGCAAATTTAAAAGTGCTGGCTAATGCTAAACATAAATTCAGTAAGATTGCTATTCACGCTGGCGCTAATGATGTTCGACTTCGCCCAGTCGGAGATCACTAAAAATAACATTAAAGAGGTTTGTGAACTTGCAAGCATGATGTCAGACACTGTAATACCCAGTCAACACGTGAGATCATGCGATGATCACAGTGACATCACACGATCCTCATACTGTGATTCTCACGGTGTGAGTAGTAGATGAAATCATTGTGAGTTGACACGATCCTCATACTGTGATCCTCACGGTGTGAGTAATACATGAGCTCATTGTGAACTCAAACTATCCTCATACTGCGATCCTCACGGTGTGAGTAATAGGTGAGCTCATTATGAACTCAAACGATCCTCATACTGTGATCCTGTGTCACCATAGCCACCAGATCCAGTCTGTATCCAGATCAGATGGTGGATCAGCACCTAGAGAGGACCTCTTCAGCCCTGAAAGACAGTGGAGACCAGGACAACTAAATGAGCCCCAGATACAGATCCACTGTAAAGACCTTGTCTCAGATGGCCACCGGGAGAAGACCATAGGAGCCAGTCCTCTGCACAATGTGACTTTGCTGCAGCCTGGAATTGTACTGCTGGTTCGTCTGGTCAGAGGAGAACTGGCCCCCGACTGAGCCTGGTTTCTCCCAAGGTTTTTTCTCCATTCTGTCACCGATGGAGTTTTGGTTCCTTGCCGCTGTCGCCTCTGGCTTGCTTAGTTGTGGACACTTCATTTCCAGCGATATCGTTGACATGATTGCAAAGATATTATTTAAACTGAACTGAGCTGGATGATGACATCACTGAATTCAATGATGAACTGCCTTTAACTGAAAAATGAGTGTTTACTTT